ATATCTTTCAGCCTAATGTTGTTGCCTCCTAAATTTTTTTCACATCAGATCTAATTTTGTTATCATCATTTCTGGGATAATTTGGCTCAAGACCTGGATGGGAGGAACATATATGTGGATAAGATGTGGAACTAATCAGATGTTATAGAATATCAAGTCGTAAAAATATATTACTCATCCTCAAACTGATCATATTTAGATGTTTGCATGACAGAACACGGCATTGTACTTACGAGTCTGAAAACTATCACCTTAGCGTTGCAAGTGTTGATCTCTTTGGTCTATTGCGTCCTCATCATCAAGTCATTTACTAAACAGCAAATTTAGTGCTTTCTGAAACTTCTTTCTTAGTCTCAGCAGTTCCATTTGGAAAGGTACTCTCCATATTTTGGATGATTTAAAAGCAATTAAGTTTTAGAAAGCAGCATCTTACATAAAGTTGATGTTGACCTTGTGTCTGTGGCTTTGATCGAGTGTACCTCTTGCAATGAACTTCTGAAAGTGGGACAATATTATCATTGCAGTTAGAAAAGAGTAATCAGTAAGTCTCCCTAGTGGCTGAAACTATGAACAATGATGGGAACTTGCAGAGTAGGAAAGCTATGTCATCATGACAAACTACACCCTTTATCAACAGACATGATATTGGTATTGGAGACCTACATTTGACATGGACGGTACCAGATTTTAGCTTCTGTTAACAAAGTTGCGTAACATTTCTTCTTATCGTATCATACATGCTTTGCTGGTATCTCCAGCTTCTCTAATTTAATGTCTTCTAATTCTATATTGAACAATTAGTTTTTTTAATCTTACCTAATTTAGTATCTGATTTATTGTTCTGATTTACCCATGTGGTCTTCCATCCTGATTTAGTGTTTACGGAAACAAAAGAAGGTCCCACAAGAGCAGTGACTTCAAACAAGCTGACAGGCCATTCAACAATCTTTTTACAGAGAGGAGTTCAGCCTGGAAGATATATTCTTTGAAACTTGTCTTGATAATCATTGTCTGTGGCACCTTTTTAACTCTTCTCCACCCTCCAGCAGCTTATCATAATGAGCATTCCTTGCATGCTGGTTCTAGGTAAGTGCCTTCTGCCACTCTTCCTTTTCTTGCTGGATTTTAATCATTAGACATGCCTGATGCTTATTTTTAAGAACTGATGAACATGGTCCATTTGCTTTAACTATGATTTGCTGGAATCTAACTTATTCCTGTCAAATCTGCCACTGCTGATCCAGGTTTATGGATGTTGGACGGATTTGGGACAAATCCAAACCTGATTCGCGATATTTGTCGAATTCAAATGTTGATTGGGCTCAAATTTCAAAATGTGCGGAAGCGATGGACTCCAGTAAAGGAAATATGAAGATTGGCTTACTAAATTTTAACATTTCTGAGATCAACCATTGGCACCAGCTCTTACCAAACGCAGGATTTTCTGTCATACAACTTGATTATGCAGATAGTAATATTACTTGGGATGTACTGTATCCTGAATGGATTGACGAGGAAGAAGAATCCGAGGTCCCCTCTTGTCCAAAACTTCCAGAACCGAAGTTCTCTAAAGGTTTCCGTTTTGACCTCATCGCCGTCAAGCTTCCTTGCAGTAGCTCAGCCAGCTGGTCAAGAGATGTTGCTCGGTTGCATTTGCAGCTTACAGCTGCTAAGGTTGCTGCAGTTTCTTCAGGAGATCAGTACCCTGTGCATGTGCTTTTTGTGACCAGCTGTTTTCCAATCCCAAACCTATTTACATGCAAGAACCTCGTCATGCGAGAGGGAGATATGTGGTTATACAAACCAGACCCGCAACTGTTAAAGGAGAAGTTACAGCTTCCTGTTGGATCATGTGAGCTCGCACTCCCACTTGAAGCAAAAGGTCAGTATTTTATTTCTTTTCTTTGGATTGCTCTTTGGTAAGAAATTGAAATTTTAGGACTTTAACTTGAAAGGCTCATTAATAAGACTCATTTTTACTGAATCAAGTTGTCTAATTTGAAAAAGAAACTCATTTGAATGTGCTCATGCGCTTTCAATATTCTTTGCTCGAGTATAAGAACTAATTCTTTGTCAGTTTTCTTAGCATTTGTTTTCTCCAAACTAGAAAACTAGAATCATTTTCTAACTGTTCACGCCGGAAGCTACTCTCAGCAACAATAAAAAATTGAATATCTAAGAAGGATCAGCATAGAAGATTAGGTCATCTGTTACATGTAAACTGAACCATTGGCATCTGCTACTTATAAAATTCTTTAACATTTATCCTAAGTTAGTTTTTTTTAGATATATTCACCTTTGACTCTTTGCAATAACAGAGCGGCCGTTTTCCTATACTCCTCACCGAGAAGCATATGCCACCATTCTCCACTCTGCCAATGTTTATGTATGTGGTGCTATTGCTGCAGCCCAAAGTATCCGTTTAGCAGGATCAAAGAGAGACCTAGTTATACTTGTTGATGAAACAGTCAGTGATCACCACAGAAGCGGTCTTGAAGCTGCAGGATGGAAGATAAAAACAATCACCAGGATCCGGAATCCTAAGGCCGAGCATGATGCTTACAATGAGTGGAATTACAGCAAATTCAGGCTCTGGCAGCTCACAGAGTATGACAAGGTCATATTTATCGATGCTGACCTTCTTGTCCTGAGAAACATCGATTTCTTGTTCACTATGCCTGAAATCACTGCAACAGGGAACAATGTAACATTTTTCAACTCTGGTGTAATGGTTATTGAGCCTTCAAACTGCACATTTCAGTTGTTAATGGATCATATCAATGAGATAGAGTCCTACAATGGTGGGGATCAGGGTTACTTGAATGAAGTCTTTACATGGTGGCACCGTATACCAAGGCGCATGAACTTCTTGAAGCATTATTGGATTGGTGATGAGAAGGAGATTAAAGAGATGAAGACTCATTTGTTTGGTGCTGATCCGCCAGTTCTTTATGTTCTCCACTATTTGGGTCTAAAGCCATGGCTGTGTTTCCGGGACTATGATTGCAATTGGAATGTGGACATAATGCAGGAATTCGCAAGTGATGTGGCACACACAACATGGTGGAAAGTGCACGATGTGATGCCGAAACACTTGCAGAGCTTCTGTCTTCTGAGAACAAAGCAAAAAGCTGCCTTGGAGTGGGATCGGAGGCAGGCGAAGAAGGCAAATTATTCCGACGGCCATTGGAGAAGAAAAATAACTGACCCTCGTCTGAAAAAGTGTTTCGAAGATTTTTGTTACTGGCAGAGCATGTTGTGGCATTGGGGTGATCCCAACTGGTCAGATGAGAACTTGACATCCAACTCCCTTGCAAAACTACCCAGTTTATAGTCTCTTCCCTTGTTCTTGCTTTCACTATCTTGCTGAATTCTTTCTCCATAGGTAACTAGGTATTTAGGTAGGCTGTTACCTCCAGAGTTCGACGAGATGATACCCGCAAATATTTTACATAAATTAGAGTATAAATAAGGACATGCTGTTTTTGTTTTCCCTTGATTTCATGTTTATTGGCAAGTTCAATAAAAACATTAGATTTCATTTCTGGATTGTTCATCTGGCGTGGATAGAATAGATAATGTTGCTTCGGATAATATTGGTTTCTCTTCACTTTAATGTTGCTTTGGTCGACTTGTCACAAAATTTCTTGCTCGACAACTTAGAGCATTTTTGTAGTACCAAAAATACACTAAATAAAATTTGATGGCCAAACTACAAATGATGTGTCTGTGTTTTTGCAACTACTAAAACTGGAGAGTTTAATCACCTTTGAAAGGAAAAGACTCAAGCTTGTGTTATCAAAGTGATGTTAGCCAGTCTTCCTTGCTTGATCTGCTTAACTCATGTACAAGCTGATGGCTACTGGAGATTACACTGCATTTTTCTGTTAAACGCAGGAATCCATCACAGCTTAAGAAAACTTCAATGACCTTTTTCTTCATGAGAAATGGATTCGGGGCCAGTGTCTTGCACACAAAAGATAAACCAGGATAACAATCTCTCTCAAGAAACATCAGTGGATGTCAACATTCTCTCTCAAGAATTATTCACTCGCGTCTGGCCCATCAATCTCTGTCAGGAGCCAAATTGATTGATGAGAATTAATTCACCATTTTCCCACTACATGTTGAAGAACAGAAGAACATTATTGATGCCCATGGAAGAAGTTGGAATCTGGATAGCTGTTTGACAGCGATGGTTGTCTACTTCTGCTTGCTATCTTCGATCTGATATCATGCTTCCAGATTTTTATTTGGTGCATGCGATCTCGCATCATCTTACAGATTTAAGGGCGATTTATTATGAACAATCTATTCACCTCCCAATCATTAAACATCATACCTTTGTCCTTCCCCTGCCACCTTCCACCTTCCACCATCCATCAAGTCCTCTCTCACACAAAGTCTCATCTTTTCCTCTCGATCTTGACACGAGCACAATTATCACCTTACACAGGTACCACAATTGATCAATGTAGACTGGAACTCCAATCTCTTCATGGTGACTGCTCCACTATTGACCCTCAGACATTAATCATCACAGGATTGACGAGGCTGAATGCTCTACCTAATCCAAAGCACTAACTTCGCGTGTCAAGCTGCTGCTGGTCATACAAACCACAGTCTGTCTGGTCTTTGTTCACTTCAATCACCGGCATGCCTCATGGTCCCATAGTCGGGTCATCGTTAATCATCTACCCCCTCACATTGTGTTCAAACTCATCATCTTCTGAATCTGATGCCTGCCATGTTCTCATTCCACTGGCTACCCATTTTAATTCTTCCACAAGAATTGCCATTTCTTCTTTGTTCGGCCATGCCTGGAATGATATGGACTGTTCATGCTACCTACACGTGAAGGATGCACTCTGTCGTTGATCAGCCAAATGACCAAAAAGCCAAAAAGGAGAGGAAAAGCCAAAGCTAAACAACGCACAGTAAGGTCCCATGCTATTAAATTAGGCCAAAGAAGAGGGTATCTGTTCTCTCATTTCATCATTAGTTCAACACACCCGAAACACATTGAGCCACTCACCCCCCACCTCTCCTCCCTCTGTCATGCTTCTCCTTCCCTAGAACTTTTGAGGCCATGCCTTGTGGCAGTGGTGTGGTCAATCCACTAATGAGACTTGCTTTTACTTCTTCCTTCCTTTATCGAGTCGACACTCTCCCCTTCCCAAGCCCAAAGCTCCAACCTTGCAATTGAAGTTTGTCAACGGAACTTGAACAGGTCATGTCATTTATAGGACTTCCCTCCCCTTATTGCCATTAAGACAAGCTTCCGCCTTCGTGGGTGCCCCGTCTAAAATTGTGCTCTTTGTTCGTAGCAGGCGTGATTTGTATCATATATTTGTCCTCATACCAGATTTCAGTTGTGGTTCAGCTAAAATCTAAGCTCTTTATTTGTCGCAGAGTGAGTTGTACCGAGAAGCTGTTCTCTTCTTCTATTGCTTATAGGGAGGGGAAAGGAAGAGGGAAGAAGCTAAAGGTTGGTATCTTTCCTTCGTAGAATTGCTAGATGGAGTGGTTGAGAAGGCCGTGTTTGGTGGCGGTGGTGGTGTTGTTGGTGGCGTGGAGGGGAGTTGAAGGGTCTCCGGAAGAGGACTTGGTGGTGAGATTGCCTGGGCAGCCGAAGGTGGGATTCAGGCAGTACGCAGGGCATGTGGATGTTGATGTGAAGGCGGGGAGGAGTCTCTTCTATTACCTTGCCGAGGCTGACGGAGACGCCCACAAGAAGCCTCTCACCCTCTGGCTCAATGGAGGTTGGTGTTTGGTGGCCTTTCCTGTTGACAAAATCACTCCTTGTTCATCTTTTGTCTGGTGATCTCGATGCTTTCTCGATCGAGATTGCTCAATTTACACGTCTGCGTCTTTCTCTTGCGATCGTTTCGGTGTTTTGGCTATCAAGATTTCTCCTTTTTGCATCTTGAGATGGTTTGGTAGTTTTCTTCTACTGTTCTATTGTTGGCACTATACGGATTGCTCGGTGTCGTGGCACTCGATGTTGTTCCTACTGATGCTTGTTCTTGGATCTGTGAACTGCTTCCGGATGCCGGGCTTGACCTTGTTAAAGATTGTCGTATGTGTTTGTGCTCGTGTGAATGCTTAGATCGTACGTCGCTGTGCTCTCATTTCTTAAAATATTATGGTTGTCGTTTGATGTGGGGATGTTTACTACTGTTTTAGGTTTTATTATATTAGCACTGTTTCCTTCTGAAAGTATCTGTGCATTCATTATTATGCCATTTATGAGCTGGTTGTTGTTGGTGGGACTACAAGATACGAACTCTCCTCGGTGAAAAAGGTTATCTTTCTTGCTTTGACTCAAAAGAATAAATAAAAGGAAACAGAAAACTTGGTGTCTCTTGCATCATTTGATTGTTTTTTTTTCACCTTTTGATTTTCCACTATGTAGGCAATCTTCTTGTTGAAGTAAAAGTTTTACTTTATGCTTCTCTCACAAGAAAGAAAAAAAAAAAGAATCCATGATCTTTTCTTGCATCATTCAATTATTTTTCTTCCTTTTGATTTGCTACTGTGGAAGCAATCTTTTGATGTACTTATTTATACTAGCATCTTACTTGCTTCCTCGAAGAAGATACTTGATAGACATGCACAATTGGAAACTGAAGTATATAAATTCGTCTCTTTTAGTTTTGTTCTTACCTAATAATGGAATTGAAATATGTTAATTTGCACCAGAATCATGCAAAACTTTTGCCGGATATGCTGTGGATTGTACAGCTTCTTGACTGTCACAATTCTGAACTGTTCACAAATTTCAGCAGGAATCAAATGGACACTAAATAGAAAAGAATTAAACGGAATTCTTTTCAGGGTCAACTTGATTTATAATTCTATACTTGTGGACAACGAAAAGGCACCTTGTGGAATCTATATTTGTTTGTATGCATAGAAGAATGGAATTAAAACATACTCTTTTTTATCTTTGCTTTGTCTTGAACTTTATATTTGTCCTCTACATTTGATACGTATATAAATCGACATATTTCTTCTTTAAATTCATACTTGCTAGAAATATTATAAAAGTTTAAATAGACTGGATCTGATAATGCCCAATGCCTCAAATGATTTTATATGCAGGTCCAGGTTGTTCTTCGGTCGGAGGTGGTGCATTCACTGAGTTGGGTCCATTTTACCCTAGAGGAGATGGACGGGGCCTTCGAATAAATAAAATGTCATGGAATAAAGGTTTCGTTATCTTGTCAACCCAAGTGAAATAATTTGAACCACTACAGAAATTATAAAATAAATTAGATACCTTGTGTTCTGATTCACTTAACTGACTCATGTTGTTCAACATCCTAGTATCAAATCTCCTTTTTGTTGAATCTCCTGCTGGGGTTGGATGGTCTTATTCGAATACAACTTCTGATTATAATCGTGACGACGAATCAACTGGTATGCTTGTAGACTCCATTGCACCTCTGTGCTTATTCAGTTTATTCTTCGATTAACAAGGGAATTATAATTTTTTCCAACTTCAGTTTCTTAAAATATGGTTTATTCTGTTTGTGTTTTTTATTAACTGTATAATTCAATATCTGCCATTGTTCTCTCTTCTAACTGGTTTTTTATCCTTCTGTCTTGGAAGCCAATGACATGTACATATTTCTGCTGCGATGGTATGACAAATTCCCTGAGTTCAGATCAAGGGATTTATTTCTGACTGGAGAAAGCTATGCAGGTCAAAGCATCCCTTACTAGTTCTCCCTCCTATGCATTAAAGAACAGGTTTACCATTTTTCTTTTATATAAATGATCCACAGGGCACTACATACCACAATTGGCCAATGTTCTTCTGAATCATAATCAGCATTCTGTGGGTTTCAAGTTCAAGATCAAAGGAGTTGCTGTAAGAAGACTTGCTTTTACTGCCAGATTATTTGTTGATTTATACATATAAACATTTCAAACTCTACTGCTCAGATTGGGAACCCACTTCTCAAGCTTGATCGGGATATTCCAGCAACATATGAGTTTTTCTGGTCACATGGCATGATTTCTGATGAGATAGGCCTGACGATCATTAACGAATGTGATTTTGAGGATTACACCTTCAGCAGTGCACATAATGTGAGCAAATCATGCAATGATGCAATTCTGGAGGCAAATGCCGTGGTTGGGGACTACATAAATTCATATGACGTGATTCTGGATGTCTGTTATCCTTCACTCGTGGAGCAAGAGTTAAGATTACGAAAATATGTATGTGTATCTATTCAATCTTTGTATTATTTCATAGAAATTTTACTATAACAAATACTTGCAAAGTTTTCATCTAATTCTCTTTTTTGCGTCCGTGTCAAACCTCAGGTCACTAAGCTGAGTGTTGGTGTTGATGTTTGCATGTCCTATGAAAGGCGTTTCTATTTCAACCTTCCAGAAGTTCAACATTCTCTTCATGCTAACAGGACAAAATTGCCTTATCCTTGGAGCATGTGTAGTAAGTAGGTGTTTTTATTCTTATCCCAATCAATATTTGTATTTTTTGTATAGATATGACAAAATCTAATATGCAAATCAGAGATGATTTACATATTGATCTATCAGTTAAGAGCAAACTGAGCTTTTTATAAATAACATAACAGTTCATTGCTGGTCATGTTTTAACACTATAAGGAGAGCATGATTTTCTTTTAATATAATAGAGGAAGCATAATGATTCCAGAATTGGATATCGATAAAATATGATTAACATATATAGCATAAGGAAAAAAATTAGCATATTCAACTTTTAAGAATATGAGCTATATTAAGAAAGAAATTGGTTATTAGTCCTCTCTGTACATCACAAAGGCTATTCAATAAAAAGAGTAAATTCTATCTGCTAAAATGAGGCTATACTGAAGTCGAACTTAGTTTATGCCTCTGCCAGTTTTTCTTTTATTTTTTTTGAAGAAAATATTCTCAGAGTTGTTTTGTTAAGATCTGTTGAAATGGTTCTCACTTGAAATGAAATGCAAGATATCCAGTTCTGCTTATTATTCTTGAAAGTTATCCGAGAAGCAGTATTGCTGATAACTATGAAATTTTGGAACCAAAATATGTCAGCTAGCAAATCAAAGCACAAAATTTTCTCTTTGTATTACAATGATATCGGATTCCTGGGGACTCCTACTATGGTTCTTAACCTAACAATATACGGAACTGAAATTTTCTTGTCTAATTATTTAACAAATCATCTTGTGAATGTTTTCTTTCATATACTGTTATTCCTTTAATTCACAAAATCAAGGTAAATATGAAATCGATCTCTCACTATAGAATGCAGCTGGTGGTTATTTCTCACAACTTCTGTTGCTGATTTTACAAATGATTCTTTGTCAGTGTCCTAAACTACAGCTACACCGATGGTAATATCAATATCCTGCCCTTGCTCAAGAGAATTGTTAAGCATCAAATACCAGTTTGGGTTTTCAGGTAAAGTCTGATGTTTGCAAACATTGAACATCTACCCAGTATTATATGTTTCATACTCAGGCTAAAAATCTTTGTTCAACATCTTGTGGCTACAGTGGTGACCAAGATTCTGTTGTGCCGCTCTTGGGCTCTCGAACGCTTGTGCGAGAATTAGCTCATGACCTGAAATTTGGAATAACAGTCCCTTACAGTAATTGGTTTTACAAAGGCCAGGTATTCAAATATCCTCTGTGGCTTTTTGTTATTTCAAATGCCATTTTTCAGATTTCCTTGTTATTCTCGAATACATTCAATCACATAGGAATGATAAGTATAATATGGAAGTAACAGAAATGGTGGCAGAAACTGAATCTTCATCTTGTTCTTATCGTTTACTGGAAAAAGAATAATTCACAGTTGTCTCTTGTAATTAATACCAATGTGTTTACTCACAATGTTTTCGGATATTGTTTGTATTAGGTGGTCACAATATAGAACTAAGATTGCGAAACTGTGTTTGTACAATTTCAATCTTTGTTACCATGCTCTTATTGTTTTCTTTTTAACCAATTTATCCATGTATTTACGCTCATCGCCTTCTTTCTAATTATGACAAGGTCGGCGGCTGGGTAACAGAATACGGGAACCTATTGACTTTTGCGACGGTAAGAGGTGCATCTCACATGGTTCCATTTGCACAACCTGGGCGAGCTCTTCGCCTGTTCGCATCATTTGTTCATGGCCAAAGGTTGCCAAACTCGACATACCCTCCAATCGATTAAATGACAATAGATGAAGGAAGCAGCAAACTGTTTCTGATTTCCTTTTAACAGTTCAGCCATTTGTTATTCTGACAATTGCCTCATTGAATAAAAGTTTCAAGTTCTTCATTCCTTGTCATAGATTGCTGCTGCAGTTGTGAAGTTCTTAAGCTGTTATCATACATGTTTCTGATTCCTGAGACTGTTTCTTCATTTCTATGGAAGTCTTTGGGTTTCATTTTTGTCTATTCATTTTCTGATATGTTTTCTGCTCCCCATTTCTCTTTTGAGAACAAGTTTGCATGAGTCATCAGCCACATGAAACAAAACTGAGGCAGATAGATACATGGATTGATTGATCTACTGAGAATAAGTTGAAAATGAGGCAAATTTAGCTTACAAGACCACACAAACCACAACAGAGGAAGCAAAACAAAGCATGGAGGATCTTATCTACTAGCTTATTGGTGAATTAATAATGTATCAGATAAAACTTGATCTCATACTTGTACCATTGAATTGCATTGATAGAAGATGTTGTACCCATATTTCTAATGTAAGACTTGGGCTTTAATCACACCATACCATTGAATTGCATTGATAGAAGATGTTGTACCCATATTTCTAATGTAAGACTTGGGCATTGAATTGCAATGCTTCTGAGTAATCAAATCCATGTCTCCTTGTAATCACACCATAACTTTGTTTTTAAGCATTCCTTTTATTTAGCCTTTAAGCTTAGAATAATTGATTTATTAGCTTATTGAGGCATGTGATGTGCCCGATGATCCTATATCGATAATCAATTCATTATGATTCGGTTTGAACAATAAATCCAATCAGAACTAAATCGATCAAAATTGGAATCAGAAACGATCAATAGTTTCATGGTTTTGAACTAAATCAGAAATCGAAACTGAACTAAACCGATTGAAAAAAAAAAGATTAAGATATAAATAATTTGCATAATATAGTGATTAGTATTTCCAACTCATAGCCTATGGGTTTTAATCTTTATAAAATCTTTTTATTTTTTTCCTCTTTTTTATCAATCGAAAGTGATAGTTCGTAACCTAAGATCTAATCAAAATCTTATAAGTCAATCTAAATCTTTATCTAGAAATAATATAAGAGTAAACTGAGATATTACAAGTATTACTCCACAATATCAAGGTATTAGATATTTTGCTTGTATTGGCAGGATAGGAAACAATATATTGAAGGCAAGAAAAGCTTAATCATCTAAGTTCATAGACTTTTTGGTAGATATGGCAGTATTAGCTAACCTATTATTGTAAAGCCCTACCAAAGCTCCCATCACACTCGATGCTTATTCTCCCTACCAAAGCACCCATCACACTCAATCTCCAAGTTAGGTGAAGCCTCCCCTAGAAAGCTGTCTTTAGGAGCCACCCACATTTCCTTAGGGGGCAGAACAGCTGATTCATCGCTATATGTGACATCAATATCTGTTTAGTTAGACTCATGACTTTTATTAGAATAGCCAAAATGATATAAAATTTTTTTTCTAACAATATATGATAAATAACATAACTCAATTCAATCGAAATTTTTATTTATTAATTTAAATCAACTAATATCTTTTCTCCTCACGATGATGGCCTCTAAAGAATGACCAATTCAATATACTTTAAGCCTGAATTACATGAGAAAGAAAACCTAAAGTCATAGATACGGTGTCAAGTTAGCAAAGGTTTTCAACGTGATTCTTATGATATCTAATTTAATAATTTTAATAAAAATAAAAAAAGTCATATCTACGACTTCTTTTTATAGTCAATATTCTAATAGTAAATAAAAAAATTCTCTAAAATAAATAAAAAAAAATATTTATGAAATATATATGTATATTTTTTTCAAATGAGTTATGAAATATATATATATTTCAAAAATCATTAAATAAAATTTTAAAATTTCAAATTTTCATAAATGGGTGCGATGATTACCAAAAAAAAAATTAAACCCTTAATTTTAACAAATGAGTTGATATCAATAATTTAGGCATAAAGAGAGATATGACTCTGCTCTCCGCCGTCCCACACCGGTCGGTCGACACAAATGTGGCGACTAAAGTCACGAGGCATAGTCATATTCTTCTGCTGCGATGGGTACAACACGTTTCTCACGGCACGCTTTCCGATGCTCCCGCTGATTCCCGCGAAACGCGTCACGAATTCGCGTGCGGAACGATACCGAGGGCCGCAGTAGAAATCCACGGGTCGATTCCCCTGTTCCGGCGCATAGTTTTAGACGTCTCTCTTCTCGGCATCCCACCGACTGAACTCGTGAGTTATTATGTTCGTCTCACCCACGGGTACATCATACCGAAAAGGCCGATGCGGGGCACTGTACTCCGAAACCGGGTCCTCGTCACGCCGTTGTATGAGATCGGGAGGCGTCCACGCGACCATACTGTGAGAAAAACATGGGAGAGGTAGGACTCGATTTGTGTTCCTCGCCCTCTCTCTCTCTCGCTTGGTGGTTATATATAGCTGTGTCGATCCCCGCTCTTCTCTGCGAATGTGCATTGTATCTGTGTAGGGAGGAAAAAGAGTGGCAGAGATGTCGAGCACGGCTGGTCAGGTCATCAGATGCAGAGGTAGGTGTCGATTGTGATGATGGAGTCGTAATGCTTGGGTTGGTTTTGGTTTAGTGCTGAATGATGCTTTCTGCAGCTGCGGTTGCTTGGGAGGCTGGGAAGCCGCTGGTGGTCGAAGAGATCGAGGTGGCTCCTCCAAAGGCCATGGAAGTTCGGGTGAAGATCCTCTACACTTCTCTTTGCCACACCGATGTCTACTTCTGGGAAGCTAAGGTACCATCAAAGACGCTACCTTTGAGATGTACCATGTTATGGTTATATTAGCCGTGTGTTCTGTGATTTGCAGGGCCAGACTCCGGTGTTTCCTCGGATCTTTGGCCACGAAGCAGGAGGGTATGCATCCACATTTCATGTCAATTGATTCATTGAAGTTGTTCTTTGGTCGTGATTGTGGTTTGGTGATGTTAGAGTTGTGGAGAGTGTGGGGGAGGGTGTCACCGGTCTTGCTCCGGGAGACCATGTCCTGCCTATTTTCACGGGAGAATGCGGAGAATGTGCTCACTGCAAGTCCCAAGAAAGCAACATGTGTGATCTCCTCAGAATAAACACCGACAGAGGAGTGATGATAGGTGATGGGCAGTCGAGGTTCTCCATCAACGGAAAGCCGATCTACCATTTCTTGGGCACCTCTACCTTCAGCGAGTACACCGTCATCCATGTTGGTTGTCTCGCCAAGATCAACCCTTCGGCTCCTCTTGATAAAGTCTGTGTTGTTAGCTGTGGCATTTCAACAGGTGATTGGCAGATGCCGTGCATGGGATCTATGGATTGTTATTATGGACATTGCTTCTGATCCTTGTGCTTGTTAATCTCTTGTAGGTTATGGTGCTACTGTCAATGTTGCAAGACCACCAAAAGGCTCAACAGTTGCGGTTTTTGGCCTTGGAGCTGTAGGACTTGCAGTGAGTTTCTTCCTCTATCTCATCTTGTCATTACATCTCGCACATCACTTCATTGGTTTGAGAACATGTGATGTATGTACTACTAGGCTGCTGAAGGGGCAAGGGCCTCAGGGGCATCAAGGATAATTGGTGTTGATCTTAATCCTAGCAGATTTGAGGGAGGTGAGAGTACTCAAAACCTCAAAACTCTTACTGCATTCACATCTCTAAGTTTGATGCTCCTTACATTTTGATCTGTGAGTAATTTGTTCTGACTCCATTGGTTTTTGTCACCAGCTAAGAAGTTTGGTGTAAATGAGTTTGTGAATCCAGCAGACCATAAGAAACCAGTTCAAGAGGTTTGTTTCTAATGTTAATTATTCATGCTGGTATATAGCTCCTTACATTATCATGTCATTGTGCAAAACCTTGCATTTCTATACTAGTATAGAATTGTTAACATTGTATTACCAAGAATAATATTTTTTCATGTTTGTCAATGCAAATAAGAGAAAAAGAAAAGTGAATGTTAAGGACTTAATACCAAACTAATACTGTACTAAAACACCAAGAAATGGCACTATATGAATCAGTGTAGCAAGAAGGACCCTGATATTGTTATGTAACATTCCATTAAGGAAACATCGAAAACCTAAGAAGAAAGTGTAGAAATTCTATGTGAAATGTTTACAATATTGTTAATACAAGTCACTAAGGTCTTCCATCTGGTAAAGACAAGAACTTCAAGGAAAAACCAGAGTTCATTGAACTGTTTAAGATCAATTTTTGAAATATTGCAGGCAAAATGCAAAAAATGGTTGATATGAAAGAAGTCTCACATTGTTGCAATTTAATTGTTGGTGTTTCCTTATTTTGATAACGAGAGTTGAATAGCAATGGAATGGATACCCATCTCTGTTTCATCCACACCACCTTTCATTACATGGAAACACCTCTCCTGAGTTCTACCTTAAAATGTATTCTTTGCACCAACTGCAAAGATGTGTCCCACTGAAACTAGTGTCTCTTCCAGGTGCTTGCTGAAATGACCAATGGTGGAGTCGATCGGAGCATCGAATGCACCGGCAACATAAACGCCATGATCTCCGCATTTGAATGTGTTCATGATGTATGTTCTTGCTTCCCAACCTTGCTTTCCTCCGAATCCACCAGCACTAGAATTTAGACTACCATTTGTTAGTATCATGGAAATGTGTCATCAACCTCAGGGTTGGGGTGTTGCTGTACTCGTGGGGGTTCCTCACAAGGATGCCGTATTCAAGACACACCCTGTGAACTTCCTCAACGAAAGGAC